CCCCCAAAACCCCAAAACCCCAAAACCCCAAAACCCCATTAAGGCAATTAATGATAGATTTACTTTTTAATACTTAAGATAGACTTACTATATTTAAATACAATTGTATTTACGATAGATTACAAGATTGCAATTGCTTGAATAAAAAATTAAGCACAGATATTCAATGTCTGCAATCATCATCTTAAACTCATTTTTACTTCACAATTATGAGGTTTATGACTAGGCCATGTAAACGATATCTTCACTCTGTCTGGAGTGAGATTACTCAACTGACATCTGAGATGAGCAGCTTAAAGATGGCCTGCTCTAGTCAAATTTATCAAAAAGTTGGCACTTCTCCTAGACCTACACCTAATTCTGCATAATTATATCCTCAATTTCTGCCATCTTTGTCTGTAAATTGATATCTTTGCTATCAATAGTATAGGAATTCGAATTGCTTATATTGATTTAAGCTATATCTGGACTATTGTACTAATTTGAAGTTAGATCTACACTTATATCATTAGAATATCTGATATCCTAAGTCTAGTCCTGATTTGCTTGTTAGCATGTCTCAACTGAATAGACAAAAGCGTGCATTTAACTCACTAAATTATCTGGTGAGATCCCTTCATTCTCAATTACTTCCACACTGACGCAATCTCCTAGACCTGGTCCTTAATAAGCAACTTCCTGCTTTTAAATATTAATTGACATGAGATGATCAGTTTCCTCCTCACCTCCTTCTCCCTCGATTGAGAAATTCCCTCTTTCTTTGCAATCCAAGTTGTTGTAGTATTGAATCTTTCGCTTTGGCTTCATTAGCATGAACTTCTGCTATTGCTGCACCTGACGACTTCTCTGTTCCTGCAAAGCTGTAAAATAGTCTATTATTATTGGCTGTTAGTTTTAATTTTTAACGGATTAAGGAGCAACTGATGATTACTGAATTTAATAAGAACTTTATGTATTGGTTTTTCCACTGGTATTGCTTATCTTATGCTAATGAATGCTTGAGAGTTGTAACTATGAATGATTGTTTGCCTTTACAGATTAGAAGTCTCTCGACTTCTATTTTTCTTGTCTTTATTTCTTAGATAATTAGGCCATTGCACTATTGCTTTACTCCACTCTTGACGAACATATCTTTGTCTTAGAGTCTTGCTGAGTGCTTAAAAAAGAAAGTTTGGCCTTTTAATGTCCTTTTGATCTATCTTTGACTGTTGACTAGTCAAACACGAACAGATTCTACTGCTGCCTCTAGTAATTATTGAAATTCTGCTCAATTTTCTTCATAAATTGCACTGACGGCTTTGCATATTCCAAGTTTTAAGGAGAAAATTGACCTGGCTTAAATATACCTTTCTTGCTAATTAGCAACTTTGGGTTAGTATTGATGCTCAGCTTTTTCTAAGCAAGAACATTCATCTAGAAATAAGGGTTTGGTTCCACATCAACTGGGTTAACAATAATGGTCTCCTTGGAATAATCATAATCAGAATTCCCCTAAAGCTTAGTTTCATTAAGATTTTAATCATTTTTCCATCTTAAAGCACCTTTCCAGTCTTTTGGCAATGGACTTAGAAGTTGATTAAATCCTGAACCTATCTTAATATCCTAATCTAGTTTTACAAAATTCTTAATCTACTCAGCTCTCATTCCTTCCTCTAGCTCCTCGCAATCCATCATATCATCCTCTTAAGTTTGACAAGCTGTTGGTGACTGTGACAGTCTTTAAATGTTAATTTCATCTCTAGCTCTAACTATCTTATTCTAAGGCCTCTGTCTCAGACTATACATGCATTCTATGTTGTCTACAATTGAAACAATCACTTCGTCTTTTGATGAATCAATGTTTGTTGTATTACCCGCTATCGCAATATACTAAACTATGCTTTTATCATCTGACTTTGTAAGCTAATCATTCATTATCTCCTTTAGCTCTTCTTTACTGTACTAGTGAGATAGTGACTTCTTAGACAAATTGTTTTACTTTAATAACTTCTTCTTTGGGTTCTTCAAGTGTAAATGATGATTAATCTGAATTTTGAGGTTACTATTCTACTCTTTGGATTAGGACTTCACTCGGGGGTTGCTAAACATAGATTCCCGCATGGAATTATAGCCAGTCTCATGGAGTAAAGGCTTGAGTGGATGATCTGTTGGAGATAGATGTGTTCTAATTGACAATAGTTAATTGTACTATGGCGCATTAATAGAAGTAGTAAAATAGTCGGAATGTTTAGAACTGCTGAGATTAATGCCAGTGGCTCTTTTATTCTAATTGACTGTTGCTCTGTTTTAAGAGGTTTTCACAGATTCAAGACTCCTAAATAGTCCTAGTTGCTAGATGCTTTATCTGATATTTTACTCAGCTGCTTTGGTCTTGTATTCTAGGGAACTCAAGACTTGTCTATTGATCTTTTTAGTTGTTCTGGAGATTGGCACATCCTTTAATGGCTATTTATTCCTAGATGTACAATAATCTTCCTCTTTAATAAGACTTATGCCTTTGGTAAAGTAATTAGACTTATTATTGATTGAATGATTATTATTGATGTATTTGTTGATTTTTGTATCGCTGTCGTTATTTGACATCCTAGATTTGTCCATGGTGTGTCTTATCAAACTATTATTAGAACTGCTGACTATTATAGACTATATTTGCTAGTTTTTGTCCTCATGTTTACGATGACTTTTATTTATGGGTTTTTTAATAGGACTCTCATTTTATATCTATTCATCAAGTTAGAATACATTCAAGCTCGCTCCCACTGTCTTTTTCTGATGAGAGTGATATCCAGTGATGCTATTGGTGTTTCTCTTATTTTTTACACTTTGAGCATGCAGACCTTGCGGAGGCTTTGAGAAAACGTCTGCTGCAGAGGTGAGAGCGAGATGAGATACCTTGCTCAGTTATTATCTCATAGATTAAAATTATATTACTTGATAATAAAAATTAAAATTTGCCTTCAAGATGATTTTTTATCGTTCTCATATCATAAAAATAAGCACAAAGGTACACGGGGTTTTGGGGTTTTGGGGTTTTGGGG